TTGTTAAAGATAAGGTATGTTTGGAGTTGTTTCTGCATCTTTTAATGTATTCATTGACCCTCATATCTGATTGTATTGCCAGTACCAAGCTGTTTTTATCACAGTATCTTTGTAGTATAATTTCAAGTCAGAGATTGTGTTGCCCTGCCTTGCCTGTGTTTTCTAGAATTGCCTTGGCTGTTCTAGGTCTCTTCTGATTCCAAATGAATTTTAGTATTGTTTTTTCTAATTCTGTGAGGTATGCTGTTGATATTTTGATATTGCATTAAATATATTGCATTAAATATATTACATATTGCATTAAATCTGTATAACAATTTGGGAATATGGCCATTTTCACTATATTGGTTATTCCTGCCCAAGAATAAGAGATATCTTTCCATTTTCTACTATCTTCTTTGAGTTCCTGTTTAAGAGTACTATAGTTTTCAATGTAAAGGTCTTTTACTTTCTTTGTTAGATTGATTCCTAAGTATTTCTTTCTTTTTTTTCTTGGAAAGGTTATGAAAGGCTTGTGAAAGGTGTGTTCTATTAATTCTTCTCTGAGTGAGGTTGTTATTTATGTGTAAGAATACTATTGAATTTTGAATATTGACTTTGTCTCCAGCTGTGCTGCTGAATTATTAAATCAAGAAATCTTTAAGTAGAACTTTTGGGGTCTTCTATGCAAAGTATTATGTTATCCACAAATAATGATAATTTAACATCTTCCTTTCTTATCCTTATTCTTTTTATTTCTTTTTCTCATCTAGTTGCTCTGGCTAATGTTGCCACAATTATGCTGAATAAGAACGATGACAGTGGACATCCTTGTCTTGTCCCTGATTTTAGAGTGAAAGCTTTTTGGTTTTTTTTTCATTTAGTACAATGTTGGCTTGTCATAGATGACTTTTATCAGATTGAAGGAAGGACCGTCTATTTCAATTTTTGTAAGTTTTCTTTCATGAGTGGGTATTGGGCCTTGTCAGATACTTTTTCTGCATCTATTGAGATGATCATATGATTTTTTTCTTTGGCTTTATTGATGTGGTGTTTTACATTTATTGATTTGTATATGTTGAACCATCCTTGTATTCCTGGGATGAATCCTACTTGGTCACCGTGTATAATCTTCTTGATGATTTGCTGCATTCTACTTGCCAGTATTTTATTGAGGGTTTTTAAATCTATGTTCATTAAGGAGATTGATCTGTAGTTCTCTTTTTTAAGTTGGGGTTTTCTCTGTTTTTGATATCATGGTAATGCTTGTTTCCATGAATGACTTTGGGATTATTGCTTCCCTTACAGTTTCATCAAAGAGTAAGAAGAATAGTGTCCTTTAGAACATTTTGGAGCACTAGGTTGGTGGTCATGAGTTTCTTCAGATGTTCTTTAGCATAGGAGTGCCTTATTTATCCATTAATTTTCAAAGATAGTTTTGCAGGGCTGGAAGTTATTTTCTTTTTGGGCTTTAAATACTTCAAGCTTTCCTTGATTTGAGGATTTGTGTAAAGAAGTCTGCTGAGATTTTGATGGGCTTTCCTTTATAGATTATTTGTTTCTTTTCTCTACCACCTTTTATTATTCTGTTCTTGTGTTGAGTTTTTGGAATCTTAACTATTGTGCACCTTGGTGAAATAAGTTTGACCGTGGCTAACTGGAGTTCTATGTGCCACACTTAAAATCTGTATGTCAAAGTGTTTCCCTACTATCACTGCTAGACAGAGTGGGCAAACAGACCCCAGAACCATGTTGATTAATTCCAATAAGCCCATTTGACCCAGCTATTCTACTTCTGGGCATATTCCCAGAAGAACTGAAAACATCATACCACAGTGATATATGTGCACCGACGTTTATAGCAGCACAATTTGTAACAGCCAGATCTTGGAAACAACCCAAGTGTCCATGAACTGAGGAATGGATAAAAAAGTTGTGGTATTTTTATACAATTGAGTACTACTCAACTATAAAGAATGATCACATTGAGATATTTATAAATAAATGGATGCAACTTGAGACCATACTCATAAGTGAAAAAATAAATCAGACTCACATTTATAAATATTGAATAGTCTCCCTAGTATAAGAAATGATAAGAGTACATAAGATGTTATGATAATCATGGTTTCCCATTATATTACTTTGAAGTCTTATAATGTTTTCATTCATTGGTTGGAATGGTTTTATTCTATTGTGTTTGATTTTATTATGTGTGATGGTATGAACAGCTACTTTGAAGAAAATGAGACATTATGGAGTCATTGCTGATTTAATATCATCTTGCTTTGAAGTCCTACCATGCTTTTGTTCTTCTGTTTCCATTGGTTCTACCATGTTGTGTCTTATTGGATTTTAATATGTGTGCTAGTATAAACAAAATTTTTAAGGAAAATGAGGTATTATAGTAGCCATTGTTCATTATTAATTATTTGGTTTTGAATGTCCTGTAATACTTTAATTCTCTTGAATGGTTTTATACTATTTTGTTATGTTTGGTATTATTGTGTGTGAAGGTATGATCAACTATTTCAAAGAAAAGGGACATTACAGTAGCTACTGTTGATATCCAGTTGTCTTGTTGTGAAGTGTTGTGTTGCTTGCATTGTTTTGTTCTGATTTGCTTTGTTCTGTTCTCTTTTGTTTTATTCTCCTTAAAATAAAAAAATTCTAGCAAGCCAGTTGTAGATTTACAGTGGAAAAGTGAATAATCCCAGAAAACTTGCACCCTTGCTTCTACTGAAGTTCAGGCTGATTTCTGGCTGTGAGTTTGGACCCAGTTTGTTTCCCCTGCAATACTCCTTGTGCCTCCTGCCAGCTTGAAATTGACCCTGCTGACTAGAACTCAGCCACTTGACCTCCTGCCAGCCTGAACTGAATTCTGCCTCACCCTAACACTTGGAGCCAATAGATGGAACCAACCAGTAGCTGCTCTGAGTTCTCAGTTAGCCCCCCTCCAAGATGGCAACCAATCAAACACCCTTCCTGGGACATGTCTGAACTCAAATAACTCACCAACCACTGAACTTCACTTCACCCACTGCTCCATTCCACTGGTTCACTTCTTTATGGAGACCTCTAGGGTTGCCAGAGGTCTGTACACCTGCTGGTTCAAGATGTCCCTCCCACTCAGGGAGTCAGAGCTCAAGGAGAAAGTGCCTCTTGCCATGTCATTCTTCTGCATTGTATTCTCTCTCTTTGCTGTCCCTGTGGGCTTCAATTCTTACTTCAGATCCTTTCTGAGTCCTGGTGACATGCTCCCTCCTTCTTCTCTTTCTTATGTTACTACATTGCAGCATCTGGAGACCAAATTTCAAAGAGAATGTTTTTCTCCTTTTTACCACTTTTCCATCTTCCCAGAAATCTCCAACTTATAGTTAGTTCCTTGATATTTTAATATTCTGAATTTTGAATATTTCAAATACTGTTCTCAACTCATATCCTTTATAATATTTTGAATTCTTTTTTCCTGTCTCATCCTGCCTCTTCAGTGACTGCTAATTGAGTCAGTAAGACCCAGAAAATATGTCTCTTTGCTTTCAAATGCAGAAACCAGTGAGTGTCTTTATTCCCAGAGGTAAAGAGTGCTCAGTAGTGAGTTGCTCCTTCCCCTTTCTCTCTTTCTCCAGGTTATACCATGTAGCTAGCTTTTATCTGCTCTTGCCTGGCAGCTTCCACTGACACCTGCTCATGGTCTCTTGGAGCAGCGGGACAAACGGGCCTTCAGCAGGACATGGCATCAGCACCAGAGGGTGTTCTGCTTTGCATCCTACCTGTGAGGAGGAAGCACTTGGATACGGTGGCTGTAACAGCATACTCCAGAGTGGGGTTGGAGGAGAGAATCATGGTGGGGAAACACACAAACCAGCTAGGTGTGAGTGCACAGAGCAGAACTATAGCAGGCAGGAGAAAAAGAGGGGCATGAACTCCTTTCTCTAGACTGAAACCTCCACAATGCTTCAGGCGAAGTGCACTTATTTTTGAAAGCATGCCCACAGGTGATCCACAGCAAGATCCCCAGAAATAAGACATCCGCCCAACCTCTGGTATAGTCCACTTTGCCTTCTGTGGACTGCAGAGGCTGCTGTCAGTGAACTACTCAGAGTTCGGTTTGTGATTTGGAGCAGAGTGTATGTGAGGATGTGCGTAGTCCTGGAGGCATCCAGCGTGCTGGGGAATATTCTGGCCTGCCCGTTCCCTTTGCTTTGTGTGCCATTGGAATAAGCTGGGGCTGTGGTGCTGTACCCGGTTTTCATTCGGAAGGCACACCCCCAGGGACATGCTGATGGGCTCACACTGCAGCTATACACTGTGACTCACTCAAGAGAAGCCACCAGGATGTTCACTGATGAAAAATAAAGGCTTCATTTGCTTTATGGGATTCCTAGAAAAATATTGCAAGTAGAGGGGTGGGGAAGGAGCAGCAGTATCATTTATTATGATTGCTGGAAAACATTTCTCCAGCCTCCTGTGCTTCTGGCACTAGGATCACCAATGCTCTCGATGTAACTCTGTGCTGTCAGGGAAATAACTGTCCTCAGTTTGAGTTCAGCAACAGAGTGGCTCATGCTGATCCTCCTGCACCCTCAATGTGGAATTCCTCAATGTAATCCAGCAGGTTTATGGGGCAGTTGGCCAGCTCACCGAGGTCAAGTTAACTGGCCCAGAAGATCACTTTGACCTTGACCTCTGATTGTTCTGCTCTTGACATTGAGTTGTTCTTACTAGTTATCACAGAGAACACTTACAGATTTATATGCAGAAAATATCCACATTGTCTCCAAGGGCAGGGTGTGAGGGCTGCTAAGCTACGGCGGTTGTGTTATGCAGTATGGGAGGAGGAAGAGGTAACAATCCTCAGCCAAAATGAACTTGCTTCAGAATACAAATTGTGAGAGCTGTTTTAGTAGTGATCCAGCTCAGGGCTAGAAAGTGCCAGCTTCGGGCTGGCACAAGACAGTATCTTGGGCCCCCTTCATCCCACCCTTGTGATGAAATCCTTCTTGCCGCTTTCCTTACAGGCCAGACACCTCTCCCCACAAGCTCGCCGCCGGCTCCACGCTGCCCTGGCGTCTTGTTCTACCTCGATGCTGATCCTGTTCAACCTGGTGTTTCTTGGGGGCAATCAGGTTGGAAAAACCTATTGGGACAGGATTTTTGTGCAAGGTGAGTTGCCCCAGAGTGCTATTTGCACTCCATTTTTTGCTTTCTACATGTGCATTTGATATTGCAGGTGGGACTTGGGAGAGTCGCTCATTGTTCTTGGTATGTGATCTAGAAATGTACCAGCCAGAAATAGTTTCTTGCATACTTTAAGTTTTCCTGTTTTAGATGTACCGCCTATCTACCACATGTGATTCTTATTTAACATCAAAATGCACTGTCCTTATTCTCTTGAATGTATCGCAACTCCTTTTCCTTATCTTCTTTACTGTTTCTAGATTCTTGTTTTAAGACACTGCAGAGTCTAACCTTGTTCCCTTTGCTACCCTGAACATCCCACTGGAATTGTGTCCTAGAAATCCATGTGCTCCCCTGAGGCTATGGGCATGGTCCCCATGATTGCCAGAGCTGTTGTGGATATTTGTGTCTAAAAATTAGCTGTCAGTCTGCACATTGTATACATCAAGTAGACTGACTCAAGGTCTATGGCAAGCCCACACTTGCAGCAGATGAAATGCTAGTGTATGGGAATTGTCCAAAAGGCATCATAATCACTGATCACCATTTACTTTGGGCTCCAGCTAAGAGATAAATCAGTTTCTTCAGGGACTTGAGAAATGTAGAACTGCTCATAGTGCACATTACTGAAGCCAATTCACTGTATTTTGAAAGAACAAATTCCCCTGCCCTATATCTCTGACCAGCAGTGTGGTGTTGTGCTTTGGATTTTGGGAAGCTTTGTCAAGCAGTGATGATGTGGCTTGTCATCTCCACATCTGGGTCCCTTAGGAGCCAGCCATGCTTTTGCTGCAGCCCTTTCATACCAGAAATAACCCCAGTGCAGCTGCACGGTTCCTGATTGCCAGCTCAGGAGTCTCAGCTTGACAGGCATGAGGCAGGGGCAAGCTCTAAGGGCCATGGAAGGGCTGTTCTGCTTTAACCTTGTCACTATAGAACCTTCTTTGCTTTCAGAGCTATGTTTTAGATGATGAATCCTGGAAAGACTGTGTTTTTAAGCAGAAGCTGTCCTTCAGTGTAGATGGGAAGTAACAGGGAGCAAAGGATCTAAAGATACAGGAGGTGTTGGTATCTTTTACTTTTCTTGCCTACTCCCATAGAACCTAGTACAGTGTTCTCACTGTGGCTCTGGAGGAAATGCTGCTTTGGAGTTTTGTTTCAGTAAATCTTAGGTACTGTGTGGTGGCTATTGGCGGGGCATTGCACATACAAGGAAGGAAGAGGAAGCACACACAAACATAGGAGCCAAAGATGCAAACACAAATGTGGTGCTTGACTCAGGCCGTTGCATTGCTGATCCCTTGGTGAGTTGATGAAGTGACTGCTTCCCATTGAAGGAGGACCTCTCAGAGGAGGTGACATTTAAACTGAAGCATTAAGTTGGATATTCCCAGCCCATTATATTTGGGTAGTTAGCATTGGTTGCTGCACCAGAAATTCCAAAATCTTGGTAAACTTTCAGTTTTAAAGTTCATTTCGCTAACAGCTCAATACAAATTCAATGACTTGCTAAGCCATAATTTGAGATGTGTATTTTTGGCTCTCCACTATCTTGTCCTGGTAACATGGAGGGGAAGAAAATATGGGGCTTGTGCGCTAACTGATAGAACTTCAGGTAGAAGTGATATGTGACATTTCTGTTCATGCTACATTAGCCAGAGCATGCCACATGACTACCCGCCAAGTACAAGGCCAGGAGATACGCAGATGTGAACAGATGTCCACAGCATTTATCTTAGGCACATGGCAACCAACTAAAGCAACCCGAGAGGCAGTGTAACCGTGAGCTAGAGTTTGGGAAGAGGTGAACTGATGATTGAGATATAAGAGCCAGGACTATGAAGGTCACGGTGAGGCTGTGGTAGTGGGCAGAGGTGTGGTAGTGAGCAGGGAGCTGTGTAGAATGAAATGAGAATGGGACAGAAGGATAACCCTGGGGTCTACTGGCGAATAAGGGAGCAGAGAGAAAGGCAACAGCAATTAGTTCTTTCTGTGGCTGGAAGGCAAGAAGATCACAGCCTTTCTTGCCTGGCACCTGTCACAGGAGATCAGGGGTGTGAGAAATCTGTTCTCTTGCTGCTGGGGTTCCCTTTGTGACCTATGACAGGACACTATGTCCTCAGACTTGGGCATAGTCCTGCACACTCTGATTTTCTGAGGATGTTGGAATCATTTCCCTTCTGGGTCCTGAGGCCAGGAAAGCTCAGCTCCTAAGGAGTTTTCTGAGTCAGGCATTCTCCAGCTGAACTGGCTTGTATTTCAGCTGATCTGCCCCATGGGCCCCAGTCAGGGATGTCTACCAGGCTCTGAGAAATTGCTCCACTTGTCTGTGTCATGCCAGGAGTTTTGCCCCTGGATGACTGAGTTTAGTTGTCTTTTGGAAGGAAGTGAACCAATTAGTGCCAGATTACCCATCCTTGAGATTGCCCGTCCTTGAGATTGCCTCTGGATTTCATCTCATAACAATTTGAGTGGGTAGAAGTTTGTTATGAATGTTCATGTTTTAGTGCCAAAAAAAGAAATTAATGAATCTATAGGATGCTTCCTCAGGCTGTGATGGAGGTGTTAAAAAATATGAATTCTGAAACTCATCTGGCCTCAAAGTTTTCAGATAAGGGATTGTTGACCTATATACATAGCTGCTGGGCAATGAGCCCAGACTTTGACAGCCTGTTGGTCATTGAACTCTTCCTTTGGTTACATGATCAGTTATCAGTGCTCTAAGACATCTCTGCACACTGAAAAATGCAGTGGAATGAGGAATATTTGTGGGGCATGGAGAGCATTTGGGCTCAGTATCTGGATTTCAAGGTTTACTAGAAAGAGACCCTTTTGTCCGTGCCTGGAGGGCTGGAATCTGCTGCAGTGACAGGAGGACCATCAGCCCCATGTCTGTCTCATAGATCTCATCTCACGGAGTCCTGGTGGAGTAGATGTCTGAGGGACAGGGTTTGTCAAGATTTTCAAGTGCCTCCCAACTAATAGGATGTAGATACACATATATCTTAGAAGACCTAGACTTGCTAATTCCAGGCAGCCTTTTCCAGCATCTGTGGCATTCCTGAAAGGTTTCTCTCAGTTAACTTGGAGCAGGTGCCTTGAGGTCAGTATCTCCTTGTCTTTAGTTCACTAAATTATCTGGTGATTTGTTTGCTGTCAGCTGCAGAGTGTATTATAGAGCCTCCATAAAAATTTCTGTCCTGGTCTCGGGTGGTGTGAATGGCAGATGTGATGCTGTTAAACTGCCCTTCCCTCTCTCTTGGGCACCTGTCCATCCTCCAGGAAAGTAAGAAGTGGAAATGTGGAGCACAAACCAAGGCACTGTCTGTGTCCAGTACGTAACATTTTTATCAAGTGTTACCTGTGTTTCTAGGGTCAGAACAGCAATTTTCAGTTTATTCAGCAGAGAATCAGGAATCTATATTTTTGCTTTTACAATCTCTCCAAATTTTACTATTGAAATTTGCTTCAAGTTGCTTGAGGAATTTTAAAGGGTCTGAGAAGCTCATGGCTAGGAATGTGGCCCGCCTGCCCACTCTACTTACTCTAGGAAGGGCAGTGCTAGATTGCAGTAGGTACTGCTGCTGCTGCCATCTCCTCCTTCTCTTTCTCCTTCTCCTTCTCCTCTTCTTCCTTCTTCTCTTCCTCCTTCTGCTCTTCTTCCTCCTCCTCTCCTCTTTCTTCTCCTCCTCTTCCTCTTCTTCTTTGTTTTCTTCTTCCTCCTCCTCCTCCTCCTCCTTCTCTTCTTCTTCTTCTTCTCTAGGTGCTTTTTACATGATCTCTTACAGGAATGTATATATAGAAGTACATCCCCCCGTCTACCTTAAATCCTTACCATTGAAGCCTAAGTTAATATCTTCAAAGAGCAGTTAAATACAGTACTTTTCCATAAATCAAAGGTACTGCTGATTTGAAACTCAGTTCTGCAAAGTCAGTCACCATAAGCCAACTGCAGCCTAAGCATTTTTTTTTTTTTTTTTTTTTTTTTTTTTTTTTTGGTCTTTTTCTTTTTTATGGGTACCTGGGATCGAACTCATGACTGCCTGCTTGCAAGGCAGGTACTTATGCCTCTGAGCTAAATCCCCAACCCCCAGCCTAAACATTCTTGTGGGACTTTTTTTTATAGGCCTAAGAGAGTGGGGGAGAAAAGATATTCAAGAGGGATGGGTATGCATTGCAAACTTATCAGGCTTTCATGTTTGTCCAGGTACAAGATGCTATTCTATCCAAAAAGCCTATTTCTGAACAAAAAATAGCATGCATTTTGTAAAAGGAGAAGAGTTGAAAATGTCTTTCAAGAGGTCAGGCCCCAGATCTCCATCTAGGGCTCTGCATTGACAGCACGGTAGAGACATGTTGCCTGCTGAACATTGTCCTGCCTGACTTCCCAGCATGAGCATACTCGCCATGCACATGCACACTTATGTATCTGCTTTCACTCCAATTACCTGACCTTGTTTGGCAAACCCACCTCAACAGCCTTAGCACTGAGCTCCCACAGTGACCCATTTCCAAGACAATGGGAGTTTGGTTCTTTTTTCTCCAGACTGCAATGAGGGAGGAGTTTGCATTTTTCTCATGCAAGTCAAAACCTTTTCACTTCCCACATTTGCTTACTATTTCTAGCTGAGAGGAGAAAGTGTGTCTTCCCCCTGATTCCTAGCTTGTTTGGACAGTTTAGCCATCTCCTGACTCAAAGTACATTTTATTTATAGCTGAGCCGGAGCATCACATTGGCGGTTTTAGGGGGTTGTGGGTAAATACAAACTCAGTCCCTTCACATCTTCTAAAATTCTTGGGAGTAAAATTTCATTGCTGATGGGAGAAGACAGAAGGCAGATGTCAACACTCAGAGTCCACCTTTTGTGATGACTTCATCTTATACCCTGCTGGCCATCGCCTTTACACAGCACTCACGGGTCTCATTGACTGCTTCCTCCTCCCTGCAGCCTCTGGAAGATCAAGAAGGTTTGAGGAGCAGGAGC